CCCACCATCCACCCTCATCACCCACCCCCACCACCCATCTCTTTTGCCGTATTTCACTCTCTTTCGTTATACAATACTTTAAAATTATTTTTTTATATATTCGTGATATATTTGTACTCTAAAAAGTAAATGATATCCAAAAAAAATCATATCATAAAAATGAAAAGTTCAAGCCATGTTCAAAAAAAAATGCTCAAAAATTTAAACCTTTTTTTCTCACGCGTGTACGTAATGTGCCCTATACCGCAACTCTTTTGCATATGGTAAATAGCCAATACCTGAAGCCGTTGAGTTATTTCTCTAACCCCACGCAAAAACGTTACATTATGAAAAATAACGCAACGCAGTGGTAGCGCTCGTACAAATATCAACACGGAGAAACGCGCCAACCGGAGCGTCCTTTCGGGGCATCTGGGGGGGGGGGGGGATAGTTTTCCCCAATAATAAAAGTAACTACGACAAAACGACATTACAGTATCTATAAATATCATTCAACTTACAATAACGTTTAAATTTAATTTCAAATTGTAATAATCTCACAATTATAATTAAAAGTAATAAGCAATACAAAATTTTGTATTGTTAAATATTTATTTACGAATAATAATTAAAACAAGGTAAAGGACAATGAGGATCACAGATTGCAATATGATCATGACTTTCAATGGGAAGATGTTAAAATTTTAGATGAAGAACCTAATTATAGGAAGCGAATAATTTCTGAGATGCTAAATATTAAAAAGCAGAAAAATAGTCTTAATTTACATACGGACACTGAAGGTCTTCACGATTCATATATTCCCATTGTAAATAAGGTTTGATCTTTTGTTATCGATAATCGACACACTGCTTAGTTTTGTTGTTATATCACAGTATTCGCAAGACAGTTAAACATGTCAGTACACTCAATTCTTGCATTCGTTTTATTTTACATTATACAATAAGTTTTGTGAAAATGTTTTATATTATTTTTATGTTCATTTTACTCTACGACTTTTTTTATTTTATTTTATTTATATTGTAAACTGACAAATCGTTTTCGCTGGTGAGTTAGTTAATTTTTTAATTTTTTTTTTTTTAATTTCATTATTTTCACATCTTTTGATTTTGTTCTCATGCCAAGTTACAGATACATTGTTTCAATGTACGATTTTGCCATCCTATATTGCTAATGTTGTATAACGAAGAATTTAATTGTGTCTAAAGCGGCTAAGTATGTCATGTATTCTTTTTCTTTAAAAATTCATATTATAATTTTAATGTTTTAATCGCTTTTTTGTTTACTTACGAATTTACTCTCATTGTCCTTTACCTTGTTTTAATTATTATTTTCATATAAAGAGTCCTTCAACTTTAATTTTGTTTGTTTATTTACGAAATATTTTAATTTCTTTTTCGCCGGGGGGCTGCACCTCCCCCGAACCCCCCCCCTGCTTCCTGCGCCCCACGCATCACCCCATAAGTCGCACAATAAACAACTAATACACACTTGTTACACAATGTACTATTATCTAATAATAATATATTACCATGAAAAGTAACTGATATTATTAATTAAAGGTGCCACAGTACAAAGTGAACATACATAAAGTGTATGTAACTTTCGGCCGGTTTTTGGAATCGCCTTCGCCTTCTGCTGTTCTCCTCACCTAACCGCCCCGCATGCAGATCAAGCCTACGGCCCGCCCCCTTGCCACTCCCCCCCCCGTGTGTGTGTGTGTGTCACAAAATAAGACGTTATTTGATGTTTCACACACACACACACACACACACACGGGCGGGGGGGATGCAAGGGGACGGGCCGTAGGTCTTCCCCCGCACCCGCCCCGTCGGTTGCGGTCTCCTCCAACCTCCAACAGTACATTTATAGCAACAGTCAAATCATGGAAGACATGTGCCTCTTTGCAGCGGGGGGAGGGGGGTGAAAGTTACCTCGCGTGGAAAGTTCACTACTGTTAAAAAGAATAGTCAGTACTATTGAATAAACATAGTATTAACTATTGATAGTATACAATAGTCCAGACTATTGAGTCCGAATATCTTAAAAACTATAACAGAGCGCCACCTAGTTCTTAAGGCAAAGTTGCTCAGAATCATGACCTTGACGACATATGTCAAGGTCAAGGTGATCGAAGCTAGGTCCCCTAAAGTAAATAATTACCGAAAAGTTTAATATATTCTCGAAGATTTTTCAACCTATTGTTTTTATGAACTATTATATAAATAAAGGAGTATGAAATGATTATGCATTACAAAACACATGTAAAAATATGTAATTCTATTATAAAAACAATTTAATATTAAAAATATAATTAATTTATTTATTTTAAATATTAAAAGTATTAAACAACAATTTTTTATTATTCACAAAATAAGTAATTATAATCACTACCTTCTAATATTAATCTTCTGTAAAGAAAGACAATTCTCAAATTTATGGGATAAATGAATAAATTATTCACAAATTACTTCATCAAAGTTTTATTAATGGCGATCAGATAACGAGTTTACTATATATAATATAGCAATAACAAATTCTTGGCAGCATGAGTTCGTGGATGCTCTAATATAAATCACATTGTTCTTCCAAATTCAAATGTCTTCTGAATATCATTCTTTGAACAACATTCTTATCTTTTTTTAAATAAAGTTATTAGAAAATTACCTTTAAAACAATCGTGCCATATTTTATAACTGGTGAATAAATCTGTAAAATTCTAACGAACGCGCGCGCGCGCGCGCGCCGATTTTGATTTTAAACAGATGTTTGATTTTCAACATTTCCATCGTACTTTTCCTGTACAAAATCCATATGTTAACATTAGTAAAGAATAATTCACACACACATTTATGTGAAATTATACAATTGAAAATTAGCGACTTAGGAATACTCTGATACTTTTTATCGGTTCCAGCTTAATTACGTAAATAATAAATATAATTAAAATGAATTAATAATAAAGAATTATTATTAAAAGCGAATAGTTGTTAACAATAAAATGTGTAAATTACACAGGTCGACAATATCGAATTTTTATTCATCATTAGAGATGTAACTATATTTTTCTATCGTAGTTTTTCACACTAAATTCAAATCCGGAAGCAAAATCATGTTTTTTTAGAAAATTGAGATTGATGTATCAAAAAATACGTTTTTAACCATTTTTGAAATAACGTTGCAGATGAACCTAACGTGCTAGAAACTTTTAAAAGGGCTCGAATCGAAGCTTGAATTTTGTACTTTAAAGGCGACTTTCGCCAACTTCGGTTAACTTAACCATTCTAGTAACTTTGCAGGATTGACCAATCACATTTATTATTTAGTATTAACGACAGACGCAATTGGCCAATTCCAGTGGACTATTCGGCCGATTAAGTTAATCAGAGTTGGTGAAAGTGGCTCTAAGATAATCATAATGAATATAATGATGCATCCGTCTATTTTGTTGCAATTGTGTTTCATTCTTGTTACACATATAAGTGTACTATATTAAAAATAACGTTAAATAAACGTTTAATAAATATTTTCTTTATATTTTATTTCAAATAAATAATTAATCAAGTAAATAAAGTATGAGTTACAATTGATTAAACTTTTCTTTTACACAGTCAACCCCAAATGATGTTCGAGTGACCTTGATCTTGACCTTGACCCTTAACCCCGGATTTATAGAGTTCTAAGCCTTAAACCATAAGGAATGGATGAATCATAGTTAATTATTCTTTTCGAATTCGACCGTAAATGGTTGATTTCTTACGGCTTAAGATTTAAAACACGTATTGTAGATCCGGGGTAAAAAAGTCACAGATTAAAAAGTTCACAAATTCAAAAATTCTTTTCCAGGATTAAAGTATATGCATTAATACGTGCCTGTGAGGTAGAATGTATACTGAAAACGACAAAAAATTTCTAAATTGAGTTCTACTTTACTATTTCTTCGTCCAATATGTCGCTCTAGAACTATCACGTCGTTGCAACATTTACTTTATATAAAAGCTATGCGATCTGTATTTACAAAATAGTGGTCCAAAGTCTAGTATGTAGTTTGTATGAAAAAACAGTGTAGATTCTTAAAATTCGATTTAGATGTCTAATTAAAACGTAATTGCGATACAAAAATTTATGTATGTATGTTACGTGCATGAGTGAAATATTGATGTAGGTCCGTATTCAGAATGCGTTTTTATTGATAAAAGCGCGCTTTTATCTCTGAAATTCTATAATCTATCTATAGTATGCATAATGTAAACTATAGCATGTTAGAATGCTAATATTGACTGCGTTCCAAAATGCAACTTCGGTAACTGAAATTTTTAGTTGACGTAATGTAAACTATAACTTTTTAGTAACCGTTAAAGTTACGTTTTGAAACGCAGCCATCGTTATAAAGTCTGTTCTACAATACGTCGTATATCGGCGTCAGATATCGTGCCGTAAGAAATTAACTAATCATAGTCGATTGTTTTCAACTGTGATTGGCCAATTTCTTACGGCACGACATCGACAACAGTTCCCGACTTATTATAGAACGAGCTTCATTTCTTACGGTACGATATATGACAACGGCTACCGACTTATTGTAGAACGGGCTTAAGCGCGTTCTGAATAAGGGCGTAGTGATGTATCCATGAAGTAAGAGAATAGGAGGCTGAATTCTGTACACCAGTTATGTTCTCGTTTTGTGGGCTTTATTGAGAGGACGTTTGCCGAGAAGAATAACTTCTTATGGATGAGCGCCATTTGTAATAGTTAACCTAACCTGACTTTCTCTGTCTTTTCAAACGATTTTGAATGTGACCTCGAATATCGAAATATTTATTTACAAGTCGTGCAATCAGTTCTGATGAACCACTCGGCCGCGGCGGATGCGTTTTGGTCGGGTGCTTTCTACCTTATATTTTTGAAAGCGTTGCCGACTTCGACTGTGCATTGTATCGTATTATCTGTTCGTTTCTTATATTTTTACGGTTTACATTAAAGACGTGATTTGGCTGTATCGACCTATTCCATTATTGGGAGGCGTGGAGTCATAAATTTAGATTTAGAAGTACACGATGAGTGTCCGCGGATGAGCTCGTCTCGATTGCTCGTCACCCTGCACCTTATGATTTTTATGCGATGTATGCGTGACCGTGAATTCATTACATTTCGCATGTGTGAGACGCTTTTAAAGATGGCGACCATTGGTAAGAGTCCGTTCGGCGTACTTCTTCTCAATAATTCGCACAAACTAGGACCACTTTTGCTACACTCGTGCTATCGAGTTCGGTCTCCTATTCTCTTACTCCATGGATGTATCAATGGCCTAGTTTACACCCTACGTTTAGACCACCACCTATACTCTAAATCTAACCTAAACACGACAGGTCGCGACGGTATAAATAGCTGTAACCTCGCTTAGGTGAACTATCTTCGGGCGCACGACCTAACTAGCTTTAATGCATATAAACGCAAGCAGACGGCCTAAAGGCGTAAAATGTACTAACAATAAGAACACTTTTATTTTGTGCAATAGATGGTACTAACGTGAGGATAAATGCGACCTATATTAGGCCCAAAAATATTACAGGTATATGGGGTAAGCGTTCCGTTCGAGACCTCTCTTAGGTGGGGTATCATAAGGTCAGGATATCGATCATGAAATTTTTTTCTCTAGGATGGAAAGTGAAAAGTGAAAATTTTTACCATTGAAGTTAATGGAGAAATTTTTCACTTTTCATCCTAAAGGGAAAAAGTTTTATGATCAATATTCAGATCGTTGGGTGTAAACTAGGCCATTAACAGAGGAGAGCATGTTTTCTAGATATATATAACAAGCTTCATCGTACGACAAAATATTGTTAACAAATAAATTGAAAACTTTAAGGACTCTTTTATATATAATAATAATAAACAATACGTTAAACAAGGACGAAGTAAGTGTCAAATTATAATTAAAAATCTAATTAAATAACTTTGATAATTTAATCTAATATATTGCGAAGAATATCACGTAATTTTTGGCGTTTCGTCCCGGCTTCCACTAATGGATTCATCAGTAAGGCATTGTAGTGAAATCCTACCTTATACGCCTTGGTAAGTTATTAAATCGAGATTCTATATATACAGATATACGCGTATCCAAGTCGGCGTCGGCGAGTCGACGTAGTAATATTCTTCGCAATATATTAGATTAAATTATCAGAGTTATTTAATTAGATTTTTAATTATAATTTGACTCTTACTTCGCCTTTGTTTAACGTATTGTTTATTAAAGTATTGTTAGCTATACATTAAGAAAACAAGCTCTCCTATTGAATATCGTACGTCAGATGTCGTACGCAGTGTGAATCGTACATAATCGTCTGCATGTATTAAGTGCTATATCCAATATGACTAATCGTCTTTAAGGAGTAACGCCATTCTTGAGGTTTGTAAAATTTTATTTCCTTAAATTATTAGTTTATATTGTAGTTATGAAAATATGATGCAAATATTTTTAGAACAATTGAATTGTATTATAGTGTTAGATCTGATTAAACTTTCAACTTTATAATCAAAAAATTAATTACAAGAACATTACGTGCGTTTTTATCAAAATACAGTTTTTCAAATTTGCATACACCGTTATTCTTACAATTTTTATCGAATTGACCTGAAATTTTATCACAATCTTCTTGTATATATTTTCCTCTGAAGTACGTAGACTTTTTGTGAAATGTTGAAATCTTTTTGTAATCAGCATTTTTTTAAATAAATGTTTGAGGCGAAAACGTACTTCCTCTATAAACAACTGCCTAATTTTGAAAAAAATTAATATTTTCAAAAATCCCTATGTACTTCAGAAACTTAATATATGGTATGTAGATAATGGACATTTTTGTTGATTTGCTCCAGGATAAACCATCTCACAGATAATGTGTACGCAAATGTTCATATTTAAAAAAAAAAAGTAATTTTGCAAGAAGGCCAATGCGCTGCCATTTTGTGCATACAAAAAATTAAAAAATTTTTTTGCTCTTCAATATATGCACAGTAAAATCTTGTAAGTAATTTTTAAATATAAATTCATTTATATTTCATTTTACTTTATGACTTACTTTTGTTTGTTCTCAATATACATTGTAAACTGACGAATCGATTTTGTGTAAAAAGTTTTGTTTGACCTCGTTTGGTGAGTTAAAGAATTTTCATATAAGATCTTACTGCTACCTACGGTTATTTTTTGTTCAATTTTATGATTAAATTACAGATACATTAAAAGGAAATGGAAATAATGCCTTTTCGAGTCCTTGCACTAGGTGTTCGTGTGAAGTTGTGAATATATTTATTGTAAAAATTGTACAACGTTTCGATCCTAGTTCGGATTCTTATCAAGTACTAATCCAAAATTGAATTAGATAATCATTTTAATTTAGAAAGGTTCAAATTTTTGGGGTTAATTTTCAAAGGTTGAAATTTATTGGGTTTTTTATTAATTAGATATATACAAAATTTGTAGTTAAGTGAGTAAATGGTGATTAAGACTATGGTGTAAATTATAAATTGTGTGTAAAAGTAAAATAATACAATTATGAAATACGATAAAAATTGAACATATAAAGATTTATAAATAAGTAGTTATATGATTAACATTTTGAACGGTGATAATATAAATTGATTAAAATTTTTTAAATTAATATGAATAAATGTATACTATTATTTTATGGAAGTAGAATAACGTTGATATTATTAAAGAATTACAAAATTAATTTGTTAATTAATAAATAATAAAAACTTACATGATTTAACATTAGACGAATGACAAGTAACAAGTT